TTCTCGAATATGTGAATTAGGTAAAATTTGAATGCCTCACCGGTGACGTAGTCGCTGAAGTTCGTAACCATCTCCCGTTCCGACCAAGATGCAGCGGTAGCGTGGAGTTCGAACAGGTTGAACCAGTCCTGCACGGGTCCATCGTCCGCTGATCCGGTGTATTTGGGGATGTCGAGGTCAGCCGATGGTTCTGTCATGGTGCTGTTCGTTGTCCTCCTAGACGATGATTCGGTAGTCAATGTACGGTCAGGGCGTCTTCTGGGGAACTGCGTCGATGATGAGTGACTGATTAAGGGGCAGGCAGGTCTCCATCCTGTCGACTTGTGTGACGCTATGATGACTGGGCGACGTGGCCTGGCTCATACGCCATGTTTATCTTTCACTTCACTTCTTCCTTCTCGACTTCTACCAATCATCGCTTCATACGTCACACGCTGACTCCTGCTTGTTCAACAACCCGTTTCAATATATATATATATATATATATATATATATATATATATATATATATATATATATATATATATATATATATATATATATATATATATATATATATGTGTGTGTGTGTGTGTGTGTGTGTGTGTGTGTGTGTGTGTGTGTGTGTGTGTGTGTGTGTGTGTGAAATAGCGCGATGCCGTCTTAATGAACTCGCGAATCGTATGACGAAGTGTGGCGCCACCATCAATTTGTGAAACTACTGTATCTGTACATAGACTTTCCGGATATGTTTCCTATGGGTCCGCCATCGTGTTGAAAAGCTATGCAAGTGACACCACACGTTGCACGCGCAGGAGACAAATATGGCGCGATGTTTTGGCGCAAGTGACATGCTACAGAATTAGTAGCATGCACTGAACAAGGTTGAACTTTCTCGTTGAAGCTGCATGTTGTTATAGGTTCTAACGAATGCCGTGTGCGAACAAAGCGACGTGGTGAACACTTTTGTAGTGGTTGACCGATTCCACCATCACAGCTGTGAGATGGACGTTACGATCGAAGACCTGAAAAGTTTGCTTTGCTGCGCAGTTACTCGCAAAATAATTGGTGAGATTACTTTAAGCATGCACACGACCTTTTCATCCCTGACCGGAAGGCAAAAAATAGAAGTCTTGATGGGCGTTTGAAGTAAACTTCACGCACGTGTGGTCGACAATCAGAATGAATTTTGGCCACCGATGCCAGCTGACCGACAGATGCAGACAAAATATCATTGCGTGTGGTTACACTGGCACACACTGACAAATTATCATGTGTCACTAACTATCATTGACAACTGCTTGACTGTTCGAAAAATTTGGCAGTTCCAACGTACATGGGTATCGACGTTATGTGAAGCATGCGGAGGGAAGGCGACCATGTCGCAAACTGTTTATTGAGCGACACGTCATAAAATGACGATAAATATATGTACAAACGTTGCACGCACAGATATATGTTGAAGAGTTGTAGATGTTTATATAACCAGTTGTTTGCACTTGCGCAACGATGCCAACTGGAACATGCGTATTAGCAACACCAGAAGCTGATATGAAGCGCTGATGATCGCGAGGATGCTGGCCCTGGACATTGCTACATATATGAACTTCAGCGTAGGGCAACTAACCACAATTGATGTTAACCCGACGTTGCGGCTGCATGAAAAGAGTACATATGTAAGATTTATAAAATTGGGTAGACAGCACTGAAACCACTATTGACGTTACAATAATAGCGAAAGTTGGGTTAGTTGGTGGTTCATACTAGGGAAGTAAACACAGCGCAAAAATATAGACAAGACAAAGACAAGGTGTCGTCTCTTCCTTTGTCCTTGTCTATATTTTTGCGCTTTGTTTACTTACCAAGCACTATTGACGTTTCACGAAGATTATCGTATATTTGAAAAGTACTTCCGATACCTGGCGAAGCTCTGTGGTAAAATGCTTCTTTGCAACGCAGAATGCTACAGTTCGATCCCAGCAAGGTCCTGACATTCATTCTTTACATTCGTTGGGTTGACGCTACCGATGTCGGGTATTTCTTAACGCTCACGTGTTAAAATTGCCCATGTGTATTCTCGTAGTTTTTGAGTAGATACTAATTGTAAATCACCCTTGGGCATATACCCGCATACCAGCGGCACATACCCACCCGTGGGAATGTGCCACTGTCTAGCGGGAAACGTTTGACGACGCGCGTGATGGTACTGGGACGTTATTCATGTCTTGACGAGTGCGTCATATTCATCGAGCTATCTTACCCTCCCATGCTAATTTTGGTTCACGCCAAGTTAAGGGGGTGACCATGAAATTACCCAAACGTAAGCGGCTAGATAGATCGATAAATAAGTAGATATATAGATAGACAGGCTCAAAGTGGCCGAAGTTTGCTAAGAAATACTTCGCATTTCAAAGCAGCGCAGAAAATTAGCATGATACTCATTTCAAAAGTCCAGTTAGAAGCGCGCATTTCGTGCAGTGCACATTGTAACGATCAAAGCGAAAGCCTTATATGTCTTACGAAACACGATTGATTGATATGTGGGGTTCAACGTACCTAAACCACCATACGATTATGAGAGACGCCGTAGTGAAGGACTCCGGAAATTTCGACCACCTGGGGTTTTTTAACACGCACTCAAATCTGAGCACAGAGGCCTACAACATTCCCGCCTACATCGGAAATGCAGCCGCCGCAGCCGGGATTCAATACCGCGACGTGCAGGTCAGCAGCCGAGTACCTAGTCCCTAATCCACCACGCTGGGGCATCATGAAACACAAGAAACACCGTATTTTGGTGACAATAAGAGTGCTGCCAATACTCGTATGATATCATATAGTACAGCAAATATCAAATAAAGCACGACTAATGGCATTGAAATGTTGCCGAATGAATATTAAAATTTAGAGCGCAAGTTACTTTAAATTAACAAGGCAATTAGCAAAACTACGCGTATAACCTCTGTGCACAAGGTAAACAAAACCTGATTGAGGGCGAATCAACTACGAAGTAAGTTAACCGCGAACGTAACCAACATCACAGAAAATTTTCATGAGAATGCATGCTGGCTTTTGCTGTCAACTCATCCTAGCATGCAATAAAGAACCCTGCAAGTTGAAATTTTAATTCATGCTGGGGAAAAGACGCACGCTGAAACGCTCGACGACCGCTTATAATGGCTACGATAGGCCTGATGGGCACCAAAGGGCGCGGGCAGATAACGTGCGGGCGCCGCGTCGTTGTGTACGTAAAGGTGGCTGCGCCAAGTGAATATGAACATTTGACGTCATTTTGAGCCACGGAACTACGCTCGCCAAATAGCGAAGTGAGCAGCGCAAAGAAAAATTACGCGCAACTCTTGCTCTCTAAAGGCAGCGGCTATACAGTAACTATATTTGTGTAGCAAGCACAGCTGCACAGGATGTGTTCAATGGTCTCTTCAGCTCCGCAGGAGTCGCATGATTTGATTTGATTGATATGTGGGGTTTAACGTCCCAAAACCACTATATGATTATGAGAGACGCCGTAGTGGAGGGCACCGGAAATTTAGACCACCTGGGGTATCTTTAACGTGCACCCAGCAGGAGTCGCATGTAGAGGTGTCTACCATACCAATGCAAAAAAAAAAGGGTACACCTTTGTGAATGCAACACCCAACCAAAGGCGGCATAACAGTGTCGCATCGGAGTGACACCTTTGGAACCTGGTAGACGACCAGAACGTGCGTGTAAGCTCTTGAGCCAGCAGGTAAAGTTGTCTTGCTGCATCAGTCCTTGATAGAGGAATCGGGACCACACGGGTTCCCTCATTGGCTGAGCGGGCTGCATAATCGGCTAAGTGATTTCCGGTAATACCGATATGTCTAGGCAGCCATTGATATATAATATCTTGCCCTCGTGCTAGAGCTTCATGATGGCAATGTCTTATTTCATGTACCAATTGTTCATGATTCCTCCTACGCATGGCAAACTGCAAACTCTGAAATGCTGCCTTCGAATCACAGAATATGACCCATTTTCCTGGACGCTCTTGAACGAGATATTGTAAAGCAGCCCTTATAGCAGCAAGCTCTGATGCTGTAGATGTAGTCATATGCGACAACTTAAGTTATGATTTGACCAAGGCTACACAGTGATACATAGGCATACTTGGTATTTGGCGCATAATAAGCTATCTCACATAAAAGATAAAAAAATTCCGCCATATCCACGAAGTGAATGATGATGAGTGGGCGAAGCTCCGGAGGTAAACCTGGTAAACCATGAATCCTCTGTACATTTTGCCCACTCGATTTTATTACATCGCTCCCCCTAGCGTACGTCGCCGCACTAAATCGAACGATTGCCTTCAACCAATGACACGCACCATATGTGACATCATTCCTATTTTATAAGATCTCGCGTCTTTCATCAACTACAAGTACCGCTTTCTAGTTTATAACATCTTGCATCTTTTCATCATCAGCTACAAGTACCACCATCTAGTAAACACTACAAGAACTAAACGAGAGGTGGCTACATACAGGATACGGTACCGCCATCTAGTGAACACTGCAAGAACTAATCTAGAGGTGGCTACATACAGGGGACGGTACCGCCATCTAGTGAACACTGCAAGAACTAAACTAGAGGTGGCTACATACAGGCTACAGGGGACGCACAGCCCACGCCCTAAGGAGCTTCGCCCCTAAAAAGCACGATATATAGGGCTCGACTTGGAAGTCTAAGCACTCTAATTCGGGTGACAGATTGGGTTCCAGCGTACCCTACCCTCGCTACCGGAGCCCTTGACTGTTGTGCAAATTTCGACAGAGAAGTGTTAATTTTCGGGTTACTTCAAAATAGGTTTTCACACCATACGCTTCCACACTAATCATGTTACTGGCACCACGCAAATGACATTGTGGAGCATAGTACACCTGATTTTGCAGGAGCCTTGCTGTGCAGTGCATGGTACAAAAAAATATTGAGTGATTATACGAACAAGTTACGTATTCTTTACTTCTCTATTGCTTTGACAGGCGCATGACTTGTCGAGTGGCAACGAGGGAAATATAGCTAGATCCTCATCCACTGAACCATCTACTGTGCTCTACATGGACGCCGGTGAGAAATACATGGTCTTCTTTCGAAACAAATAACTCGAGCCGGACACAGGCCCACTAGCAAGATATTTTTTTTTTGAGGTGGGCGAGGGGGTAGTTGTTCCCTGTCTTCTGTGCAACACCCCCTCCCATCGGAATTTCAGGAAGGAGGGTGGGGCACGAGCTCTCGAGCACCCTCCCCCCCCCTTTTCCGCTACGAGCATGGCTGGACATGACGTACTGTCACACATCACGAGATCATGAGTGGACGGTCGGTCATTACACTAGACGGAACACATGGACGCCAAGTTCACCGTGTGTTGGCACACAAACCTTCCAAAGTGCTAATGCATTTCAACAGGGCTGGGAACTCCTGTAATGTTAATTCTAATGCATCAACCGCGATGTAAATGTCGTCTAGGTTATTTCTGTCGAAGGGTGGTAGGGGCGGGGGGGGGGAGGTGGAAGGTTACAGCGCTGCGGCGGTCCGAGTCTGCTGATAGTGAATACAATGCAGTAATCGTCCTCTGTGTGTTCTCGGCCTTATGCTTGCCTTTGACAATTATATAATGGAACTGACGCATAGCGTCGGCGCATTTATTGGTAATTTTCCGGTGCTTTTCTCTCCTCTCTCCCTTTTATTTCCTCAGCACCGAGTAGCCAAGCGGATATGTCACTGGCTCTTGTCTATGCCTTACACATACTTGCTCTGCCTTGTGCATACTGTCCCCGCCTTGTGGAAGAATCTCTTGCTCGGTTCTATGTCCCGCGGCATCGTCGTTCGCATTAACACTACGCATGCGCAATGCGCAACTTCTTTCTTCTCCTACGCGCATCCCTCTCGCCTCACAACGCCGACGCAGGGAGCGTCTGCTACCTTACGCTCGGTGCCTCCTCTAGTATAGGCATTCGTCCCCTCGACGTATGCATAGCCACTGCGCGTTCTCTCTCCCTCTCTCCTCTCCTACACCTCCCTTTCTTGCCTCACAATGCCGACATTTATGAATTGGTTTATAGATGAAATTGGTTTATTGATTGATAAAACTGACTACCCGCACTGCACAAGCGTCCACTGGCCACCCCGCATATATAAGCACTGAATCTTGACCTCCAAGTAGTGCCGGTGGCAGATTTCGCTTGTGCGGTGTTGAACAATGAAAATAATCAGGGTGCGTGTTAAAAGCGGCCTGTGGGTCCGCTTTTAAATTTTCAATTTTATCTCATAAAAATCAGGCCACTGTTGCCGAAAGTGCGACACGCGCATACATGCATGAAAGCGCAGCACCGCGTATAGTATGGTCCGTGGTCAAATGGAACACTCGAATGAGAACGTGTCACATTGCTCGCTTTTTACTGCAAGTGAACATGGAAACGTGTTTTGTGCATGGCTCTAGTCTGCCAAGAGAAGCCAGAACTTTCAACTTCTATTAGTAGTATTCCAGCATGGGCTACTATGCTTTCCAAGGCAGTAAAATCTGGATAGTCTGTTCCCTTTAACTGTTCCATTTAACAATGAACTCGTATGTACATCAATATAGGGTATGAATTTTGCTCCGAGAGTCCCCGAAAGGGTCAGATAAGTTCTGGTTGACAGAACGTACTCGTCATCCGATTACAACCACCGCAGAGCAAATGCCACTCCCATATTCTGCCAATCAAACAGGTCCTGTTCCTTGCTGTGGCTGCTGGTATACTCCAAAACTTCCCAATTTATTCTGCTCAGAAGTTTAAGCTCCTGCTTCTTCATCACACGCTTACCTTCTCTTGAAATCGCCTCTGTTGACTCGAAACAGTGGCTATTTTGCGTTTACGCTGCATGCTCTACCCACCCCACTTGAAGATTTCATCTACGATGTCCTTAACACCGTTTATCTTTGGACCCTCTCTGCTGTATTGTTTCTTGAAGGTTACACCTGCCATTCCTATACATACCGTGTGCAGAAACTGAGGTGGGTTTGCGTTACAGGAATTGGGCAAGTCTCCACTACCCAGTACAGCAGGTGCGACAGAATACAAATAAGTTGCAGGGATAGAGGGGAGCGAAAAAGAGTGGTGGGGCAGGAGATTAGAGCCTGTAGTGCGAGGGAGTAAAGCTGAGCAAGCTAACAGTGCTGAGGCAAGGAGCTCGCAATTAAGAGTGGAGCGAGTGTCAAGCAAAAACTCAGCTCAGAATACCGAAAAGGAAGAAGAAAGTTTGGGGAACAAGATAAAATTTACAGCATATCCACGGAGTGAATGATGTTGAGTGGGGCAAAACGTCTGCCTGCCTGCCTGCCTGCCTGCCTGCCTGCCTGCCTGCCTGATGTTGAGTGGGGCAAAACGCCTGCCTGTCTGCCTGCCTGCCTGCCCGCCCGCCCGCCCGCCCGCCCCCCTCCTGCCTGCCTGCCTGCCTGCCTGCCTGCCTGCTGCCTGCCTGCCCTGCCTGCCTGCTGTCTGTCTGTCTGTCTGTCTGTCTGTCTGTCTGTCTGTCTGTCTGTCTGTCTGTCTGTCTGTCTGTCTGTCTGTCTGTCTAAAAGCTTAGACTAAAAAGATTTTCGCCACTGATAATTTGGCACATCCACGCTCTTTTAGAGTAGACGTTATTCAAAGCATGCGGAGGGAAGGTCAAAATGTTGTAATTTTTCATTGAAGGATACATTTTGAAGTAACGATAATTATTTGTACAAATGTTACACGCACTGATATGTATAAACAATTGCAGATGTTTTATTTAGTCAGTGGCTGGCACTTGTGCATTGATGTCAACAGCAACATGAAAATTAGCAACATCAGAAGCTATCAGCTGATATGAAGCGCAGGTACTCGCGAGGATGGTAGCCCTGGAGGCTGCTACATAAATCAATGCCAGCGGATGGCACCTAATTAAAAATGACGTTAACCCTACGTGACGACTGTATCATAACAGTACAGCGTGCAATATTTATAAAATTTGATAGCCAGTATTTCAACCATAACTGAAGTTACACGAAGATTAGGGTCTATTTGAAAAGCAGTTCCGAGACCTGGCGAGGCTTTTTGTAGTAGAAAACTGGATTGCCACGCAGAATGCTTGGGTGCCCGCTGATACTGCGTTATGGAATTCGTCGGGTCAACACAGCTGATGTCCGCTTTTTCTTAACCACGACGCGTCAAAATTACCCATGTCTGTTCTTGCTGTTCTTAAGTAGATACTGTCTCAGTCTCCTGTGGCAGATATTCGCATGCCAGCGGCACATACCTACTCGTGGGTATGTTCCACTGTCTGGCGCAAAGTGTTTGACGTCGAACGGGGCGACATTATGACAATAATCACGTCTTGGTCAGCACGTAATAATCTTCAAATCATCTTACGCTCCCGTAATAATTGTGATTGAGGCTCAGTGAAGGGGGGATAGATAGCACTGATAGTGTAACTACTACTGCTCTTGTTATGTTATTTTTGAAGCAAACTTCAGAAAATTTAGCAGGGTCCTTCAATGAAGAGTTCACGAGATGATGTGTGAATTTGGCAAAAATGACATAGCCATTATAGAACGAATAAAAATATTTGATTGGTTTTATTTTTGAAGAAACTTTTGTGAGAAACATTTTCTTAAAAAATGGTGAAATCCCTTCTGGTTATTACATGTGCCCAGGATTTCTTTCTCAGCAATAGCAATATTGGTAGGCATGACGATCCTTCAGTTAAAAATATAAATGTTTTGTTACTAGAACTGTAGGGCTTTTTTCTTAAAGGAAAATTTTTATAAAAGTACCATTCCGCTGGCAACAACATTTTTTAGCTTCAGAAAACAGCTCGTGGTATTCAGAAAGAAGACAAACGTTTGGACTTGATAGCTTCAGTTGTGACAGAGAAAAGGTTCCTTTCTGACAAAAACTAATGTTCGAAGAAAACCCCATTCAGAGCTCGAGCTGCTACGGTGATGTCACGAGATCGGGCGCGTTTCGGGCCATTTTCAAGTGTTTTCCGCAGCGCGCAAAAACTCGCCATTTTGTCGAAGCACTTCTCAGTAATGCTGGAATATTGTGCCATGAAAGTTAAAAAATAGCAATTTCATTCGTCTTTGCACAGACAGACAGACAGACAGACAGACAGACAGACAGACAGACAGACAGACAGACAGACAGACAGACAGACAGACAGACAGAAAGACAGACAGATGGACGGACGGACGGACGGACGGACGGACAGACAGACAGACAGACAGACAGACGGACGGACGGACGGACGGATGGACGGACGGACGGACGGGCGGGCGGACGGACGGACGGACGGACAGACAGACAGAGAGAGAAAGAAAGAGAGAGACAGACAGACAGACAGACAGACAGACAGACAGACAGACAGACAGACAGACAGACAGACAGACAGACAGATAGATAGATAGATAGACGCCAAGAGTGCTTGTATGTATACGCAAAAATGATTCGTATTTAATGAATAAAGTGAAAATAAATTGTTTGCCGTGGCAGTATTCGACCCTAAAAAACCACTGTGCAAAGGCGACTGCCGTAACCACTCTGCTATCCAGGCATGGTAGCAGAACAAGCATTTCTGGGAACCATTTGATTACGAAAGAGTAGCCCTCCACTACGGCATCTCACATAATCAAGTGGTGGTTTTGGGACGTTAAACCTCACATATCAATCAAATTAATCAATTGATTATGAAGTGGTGGTGAGGAGGAAAAAATGTGGGGAGGTGATGGCAAATTACTGCATAGCCACGTATGCTACAATAAGCAAGTGAAGAGGAAGGGCAAGTGAGGCCTAGAATGAGAGTAAGGAGGATGGCAAGGTCAGCAGATTCGTTATTTTCGCAATTCGCTCGGCTATTGCGCAGATGTTCCTTTTTCTTTTTTTTCTTTCTTCTGTATCTTTATATTTATAATGAGCATCTTTCGTACGCTTCCAGATTTACGAAGACGTGTTTATAACAGGAAGGTACAGCGAAACGCATGCTTTTTTTCTCTGAAGGACGACACACTCACTGAAAAATTCAAATAAATCTTTTGCAATGTGAAGGGTGTTTCATGTGATCAAGGAATGTACCACCGCTCGTGGATCGGCTACTGATGAGCTGAGGTAGTAGCACTACAGAACTGGGAAAACATTGAATCCGGGTTCGAATCCAGACCAAAACAATTATTTTTTCTACGGCTAAGTTTTTTTCTCTGGAGATATCTTTCCTGACATCTCTACTAACCAAGGCTTGTCAGTCTCTGATGGGTCATATGCTAGTGAGATATCAGGATGCATACGAACCTATTATAGGTATCAAAATTTATTTTATTGGGGTAAAAGCCCTTATTCATGGCTCATTATAAACGAAAAATGACGGTAGATGACAACACGATCGAAAAGTATCATCATAACCTGACGACGTCGTATGTTGTAATGACCTCGCACGTCACCGAAATTTGTAATTTTATAACGTAGCCGTGACTTCAACTAACATGACGTCAAACAATCAAGACATCACATGACAACATCGTGTTGTTAAAGGTGAGGGTATCCCGGAGGTATATATTTCAAAGCCAGGTGATGTTCAGAAAGTATCCACTGCATCCGATTGCCGGTGCAGTGCAATACCACGCAGTAAGCGGCTGGATAAAGGAGATAATCAACATAATCGATTAAGAAGAAGACGGCTTGTACCGCTGGTTAAGTCGTCTTAAGTGAATGCATAAGTCACAGCGTGAATTATTTATTTATTTATTATTTATTATTTATTACGCTATGTGCAGGTTCATCGGCTGACGAAGTGGCGGGGCACAGCGATCTGGAAGAAGATCCGCAGACTCCTTTTATGGAGACACCACTAAATGACAACGCTATTCGCCTACCGTCCAGCCTCCCGTCGAAGTCATTGTCCAAGGCGCTGCCCATTCCGTCCTCCGGCCCAAAGAGGCCTCACGATCATGTCGCGTACGCTACCGCGCACACCAGAAGAGACTATGTTAGATCGGGCGGCACCAGGCAATCAGCCTCCGTGACCACACGTCAATACCCGGCGATGCACAGAAACTCAAGAGAAGGCTTAGTCAGTCTTCGGCCAAACAGCCCGCCACCGTGTTTGCCAGAGAGCGGGAACAATACAGACAGGACTATCGTGTCGTTGGCAGTGACGTTTAACACGTAATTGCCTGTTTGTTCTTGCAAACTGAGGTCTTCATTGGTGACAGCTTTCACAGCGAACGGCAGCTGTCACGTTGATGAAGGGTCCATCTTGTTCTAAGTTTATCTAAGTCAGAAATAAGAAGGTCTAAGTTTGATCCTGACGGCATTCTTCTTTATTGCGAGGATAGGTTGTCCACTAAAAGGCTGATGCTATATTTGCAACACCGTATATCTACATTTGACTCACGGTGTAAAGACAACGTCGGTGCGACCAAGCATCAGCAAAGGCGTTATCTATGGCGTTCAGAGAAGGAGGTTCATGCCTACCCCGTCCCCCTGGGACGCATGCCTCGGCATCCCAAATTAGCAGCTGCGCTAGTGCTCAGGGCATGTGGAGCGATGCTGCAACGATCCTTGCGCAGACTTTTAATTCGGGATAACAAACAACGTGAAATACTCATTTTGGGTTCATCACTTCAGCCACACAGTTAGCGTGACAAATCAGCAACTCTGTTACGTGCCTCTGCGTTGTTTATCCACTGCACTTGATTTGGGTGGCTATTCCCGCTTTCCTGGTCGTTGCTCGTTGCCAGCTGTCGATGCGGAGCTACGATCGTCAAATCTTGTCTTTTAGATTTTGTCGTTCGAACATTTAGATTCAGCCACAGAATAACATCTCCCGTAAGAAAGTGCTTGTGCAGATAAGGTTGGCAAGCTGTAGGCGAGGTCCAAGAGAGGCGCTACCTTAACAAATAAAAAAGGAACTTTGCGTACGTTTGTTCCTCATTACTATGTGTATGCTTTCTCACGTTGCAGGTAGTTCGTCCATAAAACTGTGAGCGTGGGATCAAGGGCAGCGTGTGAGGACGAACCACACAACACGAACATCATAATCTTAAATGCGCCATGGCGTGAGATTGACGTGATAATCGATTTCGCGTGCACATTTTGTGCATTTTTGCATACTTAGATGATGTAACCAGAGCACATGTTTGTAAGAGTTCGTGTTTTGTGGTTCTCTTTCATATACAAATCACCAACTACCTACTCAAACACCTGGCATCACATTTGCGGTGTATCTTTTAGCATTGTGCAGGCATGTAGATGGCACCAGTAGATCATTGAAATATTTTACTGGAGGGGCACATATTGTGTCTCGATATCGCGGTCGTCTAAAACTGCTCGTAAATTAGGGGGTGTTACAACTGGTAGCAGTAATGAACCCAAGTGGAGCAATGATTAGCTGCAACTTAATCCCCTCCCCCTCCCTAAACAGATACTACGTCGTGGGTCGTTATGTAATTTTTCATGGGCTTGACCCTAAATCATCACGCTCAGCCTGATTACGCCCCAGTATGGCGAATGTTTCGCCAACCTGTCCGGTGATGTGCATGCAAGATGCGGCCAAGTTATTCCTGCAAACTTCTCAATATCACCAGACCATTTCACTTTTTGCCAATTCCTGCCACGCTCGTCAGTCGGTGATGAGGGAAAACCTTCGTTCAGTTCGCTTTCCATTTCACGTTTTTTTTTGGTTGTCCTTTATTAACATGGCGCCGCCCACCGGGGGTACCCTGCCCCAGTTAATTTGTTTTTCTTGAATTCGATTAATATGTCATTTACCCGCATTTGTTCTGTAACGCACTGTGGTCTTGTCTCATCCCTTAGCGTAGTACCTATCACCTTACTTGCTATAGTTCACAGAGCCGTTCTCAGTTTAAATCTAGGGCATGTTTTTATGTGTTGTTCTTGCGTCAGAACGAGAAAGTTTAGGGCACGACATTACAGAATCTCCAGCTTTTCGCAGTCAGTCATACCATCCCCAAGAAGGAAAACATTTAGAGTTTATTAAAAGCAAATTAACTGACACTCCGAACTGCATACTGAATTCTTAGGGAATAGCAAATTAGGGTTTAGGGAATAACAAGGCTCATTGGAACATTTTAATTTAGATAAAATGGTAGGTGTCTACTTTTAAGTAGACACCGAATCGGTACTATGGCTGAGGACTCTCTTTATTGTCGAGGCTGTGATTTACACACAGAGAAGTGCTAATGATTGTGATGTGTTGGTGCAGATAAAACGCATGCATAGGCCGATGTTCTGGTCTTTGCGTTGCGTCTTGTATAGTTGGCCAAAACTTTAACTATTGTGCGCAGCGGCCACTCTTTTGTCTGTCAGCGCCATATTATGGAGCGAAGTTACATGAAAATGCTTCGCGAGTATGTGCTTAGCGAGTATGTGCTTCATGAGCATAAACTTGTTCTTGATTCAACTAAAACTTGATTCAGTCGTATGGCAAGAATACACAGACAACGATTGCCACTCATGCACGATAGGTAAAGATTTGCCCGACTGCACACTTGTTTCAGGTGCGTAGACAAAGGAAATATGCTTACGCGCAATGTCGGCCAACACACCTACTCGAAGAAAGTCAAGCATATTCGAATGAAGGCATATGAAAGTCATCAAGAAGCAATATCACCTAAATACTAAGAATGCTAATCTCGGGGCAAAGTCTTACCTCCTTGGTGAAATTCGTGTAAACTAGATGTGTATCGAATAATAGCTGTTGTCCCGAAACGAAGCTTGCTTACGGTGACTGTGATAGAGAGAGTTTGCAGTGTTGAATCACAAGACAACCAAGTGCTTGTTCTTGTATGAGTACGCCACAGTGACACGTTGCGATAATAAAAGTGATTCTAATTCGAACGACAAACGCAGCACGTCTTCTGCATCTTCATAGTCTGGCTGCAGATTCTCGCAATCATTGTTCGCATATAAATCGTTGCTACGTCACGCATTTCTAGCTTTGAAGCTCCTATTGCCCCATCGAAATGTGTGGTATTGCACGTTGAGGCACAGTATTGCGAAAGAACGGCGATGCAAGTAATAAATGAATGAATGAATAGAACATTTTTTCTTCACGCTTTCCTTAGCTTCAAGCATTCGGCGGGTGTTTTTAAAGAGACAGAATTCCAAACTATATTTTGGAAGAGACTTCAGTTTATACACACACATATCAGCCGCGGCTCAGTAATATCGATTTGCTGTAAGCCGTCGAAAACATAAATCGCTGAGGTAGATTGGCTGAAAAAAATCTGTTGCTTTATTATGCAATAGTAAATGTCCCTGATGTGAATAGTGCGTATCGCGAAAATCATCCCAGTCAGCCATTTTAACATATTGTAAAAAAAGACAGCTGTTGTCAAAGTAATTGCAAGAATGAAGACTATTTGCATAGCAGTTTTTGCGCGTGTGCGAAATGCCTGTTGCTCTGTTTTCACTGAGTAATGCTTACAGAGGATACCTTCTCTACTTCCCAAATGAGTTATTTCCTATTTTCTGAGCTTCCTGGATCCTATCAAACAAAATTAGATATAAAAAAACTTGCAGGCTTATGTTTCGTCTTGAAGAATAGAACACGATAGGGTAACCGAACTTGCTTTGCAATGCTTCCACATTTACTTCTGCTAATTTTCGGTGGACACCTAAACATTGCCTCGTGGAAAGGGACATCTGCGCTCGTTACATACGCTGTTGCAAACTCTCCAAGGGTGCTCATTGACTAAGTTCCTACTACTCCTTCATGCTTTATTGTGACTAATTACCCACTACGCATTCGTAACGTAACAGGCACACCTAGCAGTCGCACACTTTGTTGGTGCTGTGGGTGATGATAACGATGATTAATTGCAGCTGAGAATATTCCGAAAAGGTAGGTAGTTAAAAATTGCTTCTTGCGCAATAAAGTGACACCTGATGCAATTCTCTGCTTCTGCCGCGCAATATTACATCTGTTAACACCACTACTCGCACTGCATAAACGCTGTAAAAGGGTTTTCCTCAAAGCAGTGTCTATCAGGCGTGGCTCTGTGGTAATACACCTGTCCTGCCACAGGTAATGTCTGGGTTCGAATTCTGGCTGGACCAACTATTGTAATCTTTACATCGAAAGCTGTACATGGCTAGATGAACCGGAAAAACCATTAGTCACGAGTTTTGATAACGGTTTTTTATTGGCTGCGCCGTCAGTTACGTCGCTTTGTACGTAGCAATCAAGCGCACTGCGTCATTAGCAGTGCTGCTAATGACGCCATACTCTTCGTCATACCCGAACAAGCGTGCCATTCGCTACACCGTTACAGACGTCGTTCATCGCTTTGCAGTCCTGCCGTCAAGCCCGCAAGCAGCAGTTTCAACTTGGAATTTTCTCATGGGAAGGGTACGAATCGTAGGAATGGGGAACCAGCAGACAACTTTCCAGCAACAGCGTCTACTAGCTGATCTGCGAATGTTAGCCGGCAGGATGCAGGAGTAAAGGCCCGGGTGGCAAGCGCAAGTGGCCACTGAGCGCCGAGGATCCGGACAGTCTTTCGAGCTGAATAATAGGGACAACGGTGATCTGTAGACGCGGCGCTTCCGTCAGCGCAGCGTCAACGTTGCAATGGCGAGAACGCGTTCTCCAGGGCCAACACCCGCTTTCGGCGGGTGTTTTTCGAGGGTTATAGTAGCTTCGGCTGTGATAGTCTGCAACCGCCTGTGGCCACACGTTTCAGCTTTGCCGGTAATCATCCGCGTGAAGTTCTTGGCCGGGGATCTTTTTTTTTTTGCGTTCCTCTAGTTGTATGGTCTTGTGTGAATGTACTTCACTGCTACAATAGGTCAGTTGAGAGTCTAAGTCAGCAGTTTTTGCTTTCTTAGACCGACATGCACACACACGTAAGCGCTTTTCCCATGCATTATATGTCAGAAGTACCCGTCAGAATACCTGTGAATAAAATTGATGGCAGAGTCGATAAGCGATTGCTAAATATAGAAGTGTATTTGAACAAACTTCCCTGTCTTTTCGGTTTTCTTCTCCTCCTCCTTCTCCTTTTATGGTCAAGCAACCAGTCACAAAAAAAAAAAAAAAGGCGACAACATCATAGCTTGTACTGAAGCCTTATTTATTATTTTATTGTGGCTTGTTCTTCGGCCCTTCTCAATTCATCATTTGAAGAATACGTTGCCAACAAAAACATTCACGTAATTCCTGAGTTTTCCTAAATTAGCCGCAATGTCATTTAGAAACATACATGCGATGGGAAGATTGTGAAAAAAAGTTTTGACCACCGGAGGTTCCTTAACATAATATAAATAACGAGAACGACGTGACCTCACCTGGTAATGAACACCATGATGCGCACACATTAAGCTGCATTAAACTACAGGAGTTACCGGGTTCGATTCGCAGTGCCGGCCGGCCACCATCCGGTTTATAAACAGGGGACAGGCGGGCTTCAGAGCGGTGACGCAACGCTTGGTGGTGAAGCTTACTTTGCCTGGAAGACTCCCAACCCGTGGCGCGGGTCCGGGGCTGCACCACTCGATGGCTACCCACATGTTCACAGCACTTGAAGTGCCACAGCTTTACGTGGAAGGCCGTGCTTGCTTACGAACACCGAACCATTGCACACTACACAGTCAAAATGCACGTCCGCTGAATATTCCCGCCGGAACAAACAAATGACATCGTTCTTTTAGCACGCCAGCGTGCTGTTCACTCCTGTTCACAGTGGGATGGATTGCTGACGAGGTTCACGGTGCAGTGAGCTGTTAAACTAGGAGGTAGTCCCGACTCCACACGTCCAGTAGCTCAATCATGGGCTTGTACAGGATATCGTAGACCCGAAAACCAAGCACGAAGTCCAGGTGGGAAAAGTTAGGGTCAGGCACAACGTAGTCGTAAACCAGCACGTGCCACAAGTTGGCACGGAGGGCGGCCACGTCTTCGGGTGGCGCCAGGTAGTCTGCCAGGCTGGAGAACATGGCCACAGGAACCCTGACGCGCGACAAGTCGTACCTTGGTGCCACGGGCTGCGATGACAAAAAGAAAGAGCACGCTAAAATATTTTCTGCTCCTCTGCACGACATACGGGGTGACTGGTTCCGTATGAGCCAGTCACAAAATTCACAGAAGAGGCCTCAGCAAGACCAGCGATGAAGAAACGTGTAAGCGAACTCGCTTGATGAACAAGTGAACTGAGTTATGAATTCTAGAAATCAGGAGGCGGCTCTGATCAACAACTCAGACAATCGACTAATGAATCAATAAGTGTAATTTACTTGTCAGTACATAACCACAAAGAAACAATAAATCTGCAAACGCGGAAGCCGAGCAACATAAGGTGAAAGCTTTTAATCTCTGCTACTCGTGTCCATCCACCCATGCCCTAGAATGGTGCCAGCTGTAGCCTCCTCCCCTTTCCTCACACTCTCTCGGCAATTACGTGTTTGCAGAGAGTGCGCTGAAAACCAAAAAAAGAAAACAAATTGAAAATAGGGGAACATGAAAAAAAAAACTACGACGTAGTCAGCCGAATGACCACAGGCTTTCGCCGAACGAGCTTTGAAATCGACGGTGTCCTTCAGTTTTTTTATGCCTAAACATCGTCCTTTCTCTCGGTACCAGCACAATGTTTGGTGTTTGTTTCTCTGCATGCTCCAGTTCCGTGGCTTTGTTTGAACGCGGCGCCAAGGTAAGCGATGCGGCAATACTGGTGGCACTTTGCTTCGAAGCGCAATGCATAGAGCGGAAGTAGAGAATCGGTGCGGTGACACTCACGTGGCCGTAGCGCTCCAGGTTTCCCCACACACCGTAGCTGTACTTGCGGAACTGCTTCGCTCTCCTAATCTGCATTTTTGTAAAACGAGGACAAAGATTAGTTATGAAAAAGAAACAAAATCATTTAGAAGCTGTCACCTTAGTTGATTAGTGCATTAGTTTTCAAAACCCGGCACCGTCCAACTCCAGGCCTGTCCGCCCAAGTGGGTTGTGCCAAGATATTGAGGAACCAACCAACCGACTGACCAACAACTGATACGCGTTTATTTCCATGGCTGGAGTATAGCAGAAGTGGACAAGTAGAAAGTACGGAACATAAAATTTAGATATACGTGCACTTTCGGAGAGAACGAGTTGTTGAACTCATGACTCAGCGTAGAGTAGTATTCATGCTATTTACAGAGAGCTACTAGGTAATTTAACTGCCTACATTCAAAATGATCACTTATACAATGCGTAAACGAAGGTAGAAATGGACTTCGCAAAACACGACGTCAGGGGACGCTCCCTATGACAGCGTGTTTGAAGCAACGAAGCAGACAGTGTTGCCAGGAATTGCGTCAAGCAATAGAGAAATTATGAAGAAGGTTCACTACAAAGATGTTTCCAACAAAAGCTTCCCCGCAGGGGCGAAGCTATGAGCGCAACATCGACAAATTGCAACGTTATACAATGTCAAGCTGGAGGCTTACTCTTTTAGATCCGACCTTACGAAACTCTCCGAAACGCTGGTGTAAGAGAATACAGCCGCTTCAGGGGCACTTTTTGCACAGTACCTCCGATTTTAGGGCGCAGTGCGTAGAAGAGTCTACGAGCCGTCTACCCTTCTACGTCTCGTATACGGGTAGACTGCTCGTATACACTTCTTAGTGCTGCGCTCTCAAAGCGGAGACGGCGCCCGCACCAGCGATGGTGACCGCGCTCGTAAAATCGGTCCACAATTGCTGCTTAGGAAACACCTTCCCCTTGCGTATTTTCATGCGCATTGAAGATGGCCGGGGCATTTTCTCTCTACTTGAGAATTAGATGATCGAATGAACAAAAAGGGGGGGGGGGGATGGGGGATCGCAAAGCTTGCGTTGCGATGGAGATGGCCGGCTCCGTTTATATATGCTTCAGTAGTGTTCGGAGCGGGTGGAACGTACGAAGTACTGATGGATATCATAAATTTGAATTTTATACGTGAGGCGGCGATTGCAAAAAAAAAAAAAACCCATCGAGACCGTCCACATAAATAATATCGCAAGAAAATCGCGCAGATGAGAACCGACGCATTCAACATGGTAAGGCCGATGGCAAAAAAAACATGAAGACGAAAGGGTCAAATTAGCACGGGGAACGTACAGTAAGAAAACGTAATTGGCAGTTCACGAGTTCACTCTTACGACGTGTTCCTGTTAGTGACGCTAAAACAGCAATATGAGGGTACAGACTATCAAAACGCGATTGGTATATAAAAAAACAAAAGTCGCATTAAACTGCCCAAATATAGCCTCATGTCCAATTTCAGCGCATGCAATCGGTTATGGTTCTAACTGTGAGTAGATCGTACCTGAAAGAAATGCTCCATGTTTTTCTGCGAAGCTCCGGAAGGGTAGTGGGCCATATACACTGGTAATCTTGTCTCCATGAAACAAAAGGAAGAACACCGAGACGGAATGGCACATTTGAATGTACTCTTTACTCAGCAGTGTAGAATTGCATGAACTTGTTAGACACGTTACACTAGTTTTATACACAGTGATGATTAAGCCATGAAAATGTGGAAAGCTTGAAATGCTACACAAAATCAACGAGTGTTGTATCAACGTACCTCCCTACAAAATACAGTAAGACAGGGGTGCATAATAGTAATCTCCAACGATGCTTTTATTTTCTTCATACTGGGTTTGCAATTCTTATTGTCAGATACACTGTAGTAGGCAATTTTAGGTCACAATTTCTCATCGTTTTACATTGCAACGCATTCCTTGTACCGTCTTGAGATGAATAAAAAAGAATTTTGGATATAACTCCAAGGTCATCTACCTGTCGGCGGTTCTAAAATATTAAAATCAAAATAAAAGCCGATGGCAGAAACTGCCACACCTTTTCGTATGTCACTCACCAGATGAGGTTTAAGCCGTACTTTGTCTGCCTCGAATTAAAACGCGATTTACATATTTCTTATGGGAACACTGCAGTATGTGGTAGCCTTCCTGCCGGATACGGCCCCATGCTTTTCTGACGGAACTTTCGCCCCACAGTTTAGCTGACGACTTTGTGTCGCATAGGTCGGGAAAACTTGTGGAGTTCACTCCGACTCACTCAAAAATTTATTATTTAGCGCTTTGTAGTCACTCGGACTCACTAAAATATTTTCGAGCCATACTCACTCGGACTCACACTCACAAAACGTTTCTTCAGCCGGAATCACTTTGACTGAGACTCACGAGAATATTAGTCACCCCTACTCACCCAGACTCTGACTCACGGCTCGGTCCAAGTCTGATGGAGTCCGAGTGAGTCGACTCATGAGTATGGTAAACTCGAACCAACTTCCTTGGCAATAGTTTCAATGCTTTTTAACACCAATATCTCACGTAATCAGTGATCATCTTGCTGCCATTTGACATAGTATCTTCGAGAAGGAGTTCTGAATACGTCCAAACCACTATGGTCATTTTTCTTGGAAGAGATGATGGCATAAGATATAATTGAGAACTTCCCTGGAAGATTCGGGGGAGGGGGGTGGAGGTAGAGGCGCCCCTACGTAATTCACGCCTATATAAGTACTCATTGAAACTGTGCATGAATGATACTGCTTTGGAATACCTGTGAGGAGACGTGAGTATAAACGTGAGTTAAGGTAAGGCTGATAGTAAGACTCAGGATGAGTAGACAGGACCTCACGTCTACAAATCCATGTGGGACTCACTAAGACTCACTCAGACTCACTCAAGAATTATATATTCTTGAGTAAGTGCATTATATTACAAAGCTGTTCCAAAGGCTGCTAGTCATGAACTAAATTTCATAGACATGATTCGGGGACATAAATGTTCAGAACTTTTGCGCTACGAGCCATACAGGTACAATGAGGAAATTTATTGCTTTGGGTGTATTAAGGGGATGACGCTTTTGACAAAGCATTTATGAACTGCCCCGTAATAACATTATAGGTGAAGGTTTCAACTTTGAGCATTTGAGTAACGTTGCAGAAAAACTCGAAGCCACGTAGCTGAACACATGTTCCTCCCGAGAGAGGTAGGCTTTATCGATTTCCGGCATATTGCAAGGCTGGGCTCCCACCTAGGAGTTAACGGAGAAACCATGTCTCCCAGCCGCTTTTTTGGCCTGCTAGATCGCCCAGAGTTGCTTGTCCAAACCCGAACGGAGCAGCGCAGTCAACCAACGTGCCCGAAAGTCTTCCTTGGAGGCCGTGAGCCCACAATTTCTGATTAATGCTGGACATCACCACAGAATATGATCAACAGTGGCTCTGGTGGTACAGTACTGGCATAGATTAAAACTATAGCCGTCGGGATATATGAGGTGCATAATGACAGGCTTCATGGATTTGCGTGTTTGTAGCTCCCGCCATTCAACGGACTGGGTCAAATTTAGCTTGCGGTGAGGCTGTGGACAGTGTTGGGTTATGTTACAAACTTTAGTGAGCCGATCGTCCCATTCCCACACCGGTGCAGAAAAGTCCGATTGGGTTGCCGCTTAGTATGACGTCACTCGGAACGCATGACCTCAAGCCACGTTGTGCGCCACCTAATTCAGAGTGTACTCCGGGTTACCTAGGGGTGTGTGGGCAGGGAACCTGAGAATGTGCACGCATTTGTCCACCTCGTGAATTTCGCCTGCATTAAGGATGCACATGACTCTACAGAACTTGAGTTATTGCACGTACTATTTTTTCTACTTATAGAAATCGCATCTTTTCCTCAAAATGTTCCTGTACCATCAGGAAATCGCACAGACACACTGCGTTTTTGGAAAGGCCGGCCAAAGAGGCTGATAAATTTTTGAAACCACTAATACAAGCTACGTGCAAGCTTTTAGATGGAAAGGGAGATTAAAAAACACTTAAGCGTTCAGAACAATGTGTAATTGAGCTATGACCAAGTACGGATGACTTTTCCACAAAAGTGGAAGGATTTGTGAGACATACGAGAGTAGTGATGGAGATGTTAGAGCATGCAGAATCCGATTAGTAAGCAGTGAAGAGATTGCGAGGTGGATACAGCTTTTCAATATCCTCTAGAACTGTGTGAGTGGTATTATAAATGTTCTACTTTAACATTTCTCACCCTGACGGTTGCCCATGCCACACACAATACATGAATACAAGTACACTGAAAGCTTAATTCAAACACGCGAATTAAGTTCAGCTCAAGTTATCCTGTGGGCACTCAAATGAAGGAACATCATGCCCCACTGTGTGGCCAGAATCCAAAGAAGCCACTTCGTGAATCGTTATTGCGAACGGAGTGCTACTACACATTTGTGGCAGGATATCTCGCAAATAAGGTTTACGGGCAACTACCAGTGAACCGAATCAATTGATCAGGCAATAGTACGCCGGAAACAAGCACCGATATGCATTCATGTGAACAGTGAGCCTTAATGTAGAAATACATGGCACTATTTATGCCCAAAACACGTTTATTCACTTGGCAGACTTGCCACAATAAAAAAAATTACAGCATATCCACGGAGTGAATCATGATGAGTGGGGCGACGCGTCCGTCAGCCCGTCTGCGCTTCCACCCGTCCGTTCATTCTTGCGTCCGTCCGTCCGTGGGACCATTCGTGCATCCATCTATGCGTCCATCCATCGGTCGTGCTTCCGTCCGTGAGCTCGTCAATCCGTCTGTCTGTCTGTTTGTCTGTTCGTGCGTCCATCCGTCCGTACGTCCGTGTGTCTATCCATCCGTCCATCCGTCTGCTAGTTTGTCTGTCCGTCCATCCGCGCGTCCATGTAGTGAACACTCCAAGTACCGCCATCTCTCATCTCGCATCCCCTGTGGCACATACCCGCACTAGAGCGGGTTAGTGCCACAGGTGGCCACTTAAAAGAAATAAATACAAAGAACGGACAGACCCACACTTTAAGGAGCTTCGCCCCTAAAAATTAAGGACCATGTCCTTGAAAAGAATTATGATGGGACGCTAAGCAACAATGGTGCGAACGTCCTTGACCCGGCCAAAACGGGCGTCGAAGCTGGTGCTGGAAGGATGGTTTGAAGCGAAACTCAGTGTAGCTTTTACTCAAGTAAACGTTTCTCTGAAACACAAAGACATGGGAGGCGGGTTGGGTTACGTGTAAGTTTTATCCCAGATAAACAAGCCGAAAGAGGGTTTACAGCCGACGTGCGGTCGAGCGTCGCATGTGGTGGAGAGAGTGAAGTGACAGAGGAGTGTGCTGCAAGTGAGTAGAAGAGCAACACCATCTAGGTGTGTTGGGAGCAGCCGGAAGCTATCGCGTGTGAGGATGACGTCTACACATAACTGCGACTTTACCTACTTGGCATCGTTTCAATATCTGCGGCGGGGGAAACACAGTGGGGCGTGTTGGTACGCAGACACGGACGGACATTGTTAGACAGGCTAGTCAAAGAGCTGCTTCGCATCTCAATGAAAAGCAATGAGAAATTCGCGTTTTTTTCCCCAATTTTTCTGTCGCGACTCAATGAGCATCGTTCGTAGTTTCTCCAAGAGCTACAGCTCTGAGGTCCAATTTTAATCTACTGAGAAATGCTGGGGTTTCCTTGTTCTGAATCACTCTTAAATTTAGTTTGATTTGCATATGTGTGATCGCTTTGGGCCAACTTTTCCGCAAAGTTTATGAAGGAAGGAACATGAAATAAAGGAAAAGCAGCAATGTTAACCAGTCTAGCAGGACTGGTATGCTACCCTACACATTGTTTATTGTGAGGTAAGCAAAAAAAAACAAATCTTTGGCCCCCATCATAAGCATATAGCAGGCGGAAAGGGGTATGGGAAAGTTTTAAACGATAAAGAAAGAGAGAAAGAGGAGAGAGCACACACACACAAAGTCGCACTTGACAGTCGCCATACCAAAGTAAGTTTATGATCCATTGTACGAATCTGTTGCCTTCAGAATGTTGAGCACCAGCTTAGTCACCTTCACCCAAAATGTCCTCTCAGGCCCACGTTTCAGAACTTCAGAGATTCATAGCTCCCGAATTCAAATGAACCGTTGTTGATACCGACGCGCCCGAAATATTGGGAGCTGGCCCCTTAGAAATACACAGGGCTGCGCTGGGACCAGTTTGTCTTTACTGAAATCTTTCAGTCGCCCTCCCAATCTCGATACAGAGTAGCATGGCAGCCATGTATTAACGTCGGCAAAAATTTCTGTTTTCCTAATAAAGTGTCTCTTTCTTTCTCGGCAGTTGTTAACATGAATTAACTTTAAGGCACATTAACGAAGCATGAATTAACGAATTATGAATTAACGAGCTTTCGCTTTCAAGAGCGAAAATTCTGGTGGGAAGGCTTGACGCGTTAGCATTGTTCATGTCAGGATGGTACAATGTCGAGAGCCAATGCAGGCCGCAGAGGGATTCTGCAGCAGAAATTTTACCAATCTTGTTTTTCTCCACGCTATCCTGAAAAACAGGGGCTTCGTTGAATTTATTACTATTAGTTGTAGTAGCAGTTAGAATAGTAGTAGTAGTAGTAGTTACAGTAGTAGCGTTATATAGTAGTAAATACTAGTAATATGATTAGTAATATATGCTGTGTTATTTAAGATGTAATAATTAATATGTGGGGTTTAACGCCCTCAACCACCATATGACTACGAGAGGCGCGTAGTAGAAGACTCCGGAAATTTCGCTTACCTAGGGACCTTTAACGTGCACCCGAATTTGATCACATGTGCCTACAGCATTTTCGCCTGCATCGAAAATGCAGCCACACAAGCAGGGATATATTATTAGTAGTAGCAGTAATAGCACAGTATACTGCCCAAGCGTATCGAAGGTGCGAACAGGTAGTGAGTGAAAATGCTTGGAAAGGAAACGAGGCTTTCATCACTAATAAGCGGTTCTGACCCTCAGCGCAGGATTTTTTATGCCCCTGCGAGCAAGTTTGCATTCACCTTCCAAGAAGTAATGTTCGGACTCTTTGCTAGAGAGAGATAGAGAATATAAGAATGGCCGAAGGTTAACTAGACTGTGTCCACTTCGCTACCCTACACGAGGAGAGAGGGGAAAGAGGGAGTGAAAGTGAGACAGTTTTCCCAGAGCATTATGTATGTACACAATAATCACACACTGCAGGTACTCCTCACTCACTAAATTCATGATATAATAATAAATATCGTCGCCCAACGTCCCGAATCCTCCATATGAATATGAGACACGAAGTAGTGGAGGGCTCCAAAAATATCGACTGCCCGCATGAGGTTCTTTACTGTGCACCTAAATCTGAGCACATGGGCCTCAAGTGTTTCCATCTCCATAGAAACTGCGGCTGCTGCGACCTGGATTCGATTCTGCGACTTGCGTGTCAGCAACAAAGTGTTTACCCACTAGACTACCGTGGCGGGTGCTCACCACATTCAGTTGGTTGTGGTTAACGCCGAGGTAGTAGAACCCGGGCGTGGAGCAAAAGTAGCGCATCTGCGTCGTGGTGTCGCACACGGTGTACGATGCGTGCCGGAGGCTGGGCTCACGCACCAACACTCGGCCGCGGTTCAGCTTCACCAAGGCAGCCTGCAAGAAAAGGAGGAGCATTAGTGCACCACGACGGGTGTATTTTAAGCATTAACATATGAAACAAGGCGAGAACTTCAGCGCACTGTCGAACTCTTTGTACTTTATCAGCGAATGCTGTATACGGGTAACAGAAACTAAAAACTGTCCGCAGTGGTGTAAGTATTGGCACTATTGGCTGTACTATCAGTTAGCTCATTCTCAGCGTCGTACCCCAGCGCGTGCGATTGGGTGCGTTCTGAGTGATGTCGTCCATATCGACACAGCCATGGCGCAGAGCACGCGCGCATGAGCTTCCCTTGAAACCTTCCACATGCCAGCGACAACTTTAGAAGAGCTACGACAGTGGAAACGTGAGTGAGCTCACATTCGCCGGGGAGATAGTACAGTTCTGGCACGAAAAACAGGCGCGAGAGGCTGATAGCTCGCAGCAACTACGTACTAATGTTCCGGCAGCCTTCCAAACCACGGCAAATCACGAACGGGAATGCATGTGCCTGTGGAGAGCGGATCCTACAAACCACGCCACCAAGTTAGCTCGCCATGACAAGCGCTTTAAAGAATGCCGCACCGAACCATGAATGCGTTTTTCTTGAAGAATGGAAAAATGCACCTAATTTCTTTCTGCCTATAGGCGACATGGCGCAGTGCCTACGCCGAGCAAGTGGCACTGAGGTGTCGGCTGAAGAGGCAGTTTGGCTTTCGCTACGACGTCTGTGAATGCGTGTGGTTCGAAAACAGCAACTGGGATTAACACATTGCGAAACGCATTTAACTGCTCATTACACTCTTTCACGACCATGACCGATATGCGACGCTCAATGTGCGGCATATGAGATAACCACCCTGGTAAACCCAAGCCACACGTGCATAACCTCATTAAGAGGCGCGAACATCTAGCCAGTAATTGTGAAAGGCTTCAGTGCCACGGCGGGTTCAGCACACTGCTAAACACCGGAGCCGAATGCTTCAGCTTTCACTGGTTAATTATTTGTACGGAGTGCTTGAGGAATGATTTTATTTTTCATAATTTCTCATGCTCAGATACATATAGCGTACATGCAGGTACATAGAGCGCGTGAGCACATTCGCACAGATGTGCAGACGGTCTAAGGCGATGCAGAAGTGTGCTGTTTATGAAGGATCCGAGCGCCTTTTTTTTTTCAGGGGTTTCGAAAATCTTATCGTCCCAAAAACCCGGATATAAACGAGGGTCTCCGAGATACATTTAAACGGGTCAACAGTGTCCTTGTGCAATGTATATTTTATGCCCAAAAGGTATAGCGGGAAGGCATACAATAATGCTGAGACAGTCCATTGCTGTCAAAACACATATAACGATGCACTTTTGGAAACTTGGAGGTTGAGTTATGCAGAGACAGAAATGCCGCGTCTAGGATATGACGGTTCCTTATCCTCACCAGCAGAAAACCATTTAAGTGTAGGCGCTGTTTGGTTCATAGAGCAACGAATAACAATAAATGTGACCGTTGAGCATAAAGAGGGACAATACTCCTCTCAGATAGATTACTAGTAATATACACCTGGCCACGCTTAGGAACCAAATTTAGGGGCAATAGTTACATTCATTCAACGTATATGTTATGCCAGTGTTACGTCACTGCGGCATTCTACGTGTTGCTTAGAAACTGAATACCATTGCATTCTGTCATGTCAGTGATTAGGCTAGGGGAAATAACTGGAAAATGGAAATTCACTTGGTGAATTTCCTTAGTTTCTCAGTGAGTGGATTTATAATAATGATACTGATACGGTATGAGCCGGGCCATCTTTTGGGGACAAAGGTAGAGGAAGGGAAGTTACTTGGTTCGCTACCCAGCACCTTCACCATATAACTGTTAGAATTAGATTGAGTTTAACTATGTTTATTTGCAGGAGAGATCAGGCGACGATCGGCGATGATGGCAACATAGGCCGAACCAACTAACTTCCTCTTCCTCTACCATTGTCCCCAATACATGACCTGGTTCATACAGTATCAATATTAATATGTTGAGCTTAACGTCCTAAAATCCCCATATGATTACGAGAAACGACGTAGTGGAGGGCTCCACAAATTTCGAACACCTGGGGTTTATTACCATCCACCCAAATCTGAGCACACCGGCCCAAAGCATTTTCGCCTTCGTCAAAAATGCAGTCGGGATTCTATCTCGCGACCTGCGGGGGTGATTGGATTTACTTGAAAATGATAATGTTCGAGAGTATGCGTGATTTCGTTAATAATAGTGTAATTAGAAGAAATTTGTTGAACTTTAGTAAATTGGGAGCCTTTAACGTTGACATGGCTGATCCCTCAGTCATAAGAGTCGGTATAACACGAAAGTGAAAGGTGTCTTCGCCGAAATAGTCGAGTGCTTACTTTGTATCAATATATTGGAGCTCACAGTTGGTGCGTGGCAGGTAAAACACTGTTTGACGTAGATTCACCCACGTTGACACCTGCGTGAGGCCTAAATGAACGCGGCTGACCTCTCTGTTTAGGAATCGGAGTAACATGAATGGGAAACACGTTTTCACTGAATTTATGCTCTGTTTGACCTCAAGGGTGAAGGAACGAGCGTTATAGCAACAAATTGTAATAGCACACCCAGAACGGCACGAAGCTCGAAACTCAAGAGCGCGCACCTGAAGCATTAAACGCGCACAAAATAAGCATACACAGGATGAGCTCGAGCTAACAACTGCCACACTTGTTACTTCCTTGAGTGTGAGCAGAGCCCTTATTTCGCAAACGCGACTACTGCAGCTGCCAAACGACCTTCATGTGAAAAATCTCACGCTCAGTGCGCGAATAGCACAGCACGCACAAACCACTCCGCACGCGCATGTACGACAGACGCCGTCGTGCAGAGGTGCGCGTGCATCGCAATGCGTGTTTTCACAACTATCAAAGTGCTCCCTTCGAGCCCAATCTTGCTAGTTATAATGTAAACTCGCCTAACGAAGTGTTGTCGAGCTCTGTGTACCACCAGTGATAAATTATGTATATAATTAGCTTGCCGTTAGTGTGATGAACGTAAGATCTGTGGGTGACATAAATCCCCAGAAAACAGCCGTACAGAAAAATCATGAAAAAATAATGAGGTGAGTTAAGAAATTAGCAAATGTAATCTGCCAGAATGAACCGATTATGGAATGAAGACTCTCCAGAAAAATGCAGAACCGCAAAGGTCTTTGCCATAAATTAGAGCCGTCCGCCACCACGTTAGAGCCGTCCGCCGCCCGTTTTTGCTCACGCCATTCTCTCCACCGCCGAAGTTTCGAGAGAGAACACGCTGCCGCCGTCGCCGCCGCGCAATAATTGCGGTGCACTGCCGTTTGTCTGCCGTATTTCAACCCGGGCGAGGAATCTGGGCATGAAGTACTTCACTTCACCTTCTTTTCTGCAGCTTGAGGATTTTTCAGTGTGGTGCCCCGGCTGCCCTCTTGGGTCTGTGTTTGCTTGCCCCGTCTATGCAGGATGTTTCAGCTAAAAGCACTCAGCAATAACAAATTAAAAATTAGAGCTACGCGTCTCCAGCTATCATAGTATTGTTCTTAGCTGTATGTAGCACGTGAGAATATATTTTTGATCCGCCGAGCACGGTAATTAACAAAGATTGCTTAATAAACTTCTTTAAATACTGACTATAGAGAAAAAAAAATCAATACAAGGCTTGTAGCTATTTTCCAGAAGTAACAAAATTTTCATGTTACAATAAGATAACAACGCTGGTTCATTTTCTTCCAGTGTTTTTCTATAAAGCGTGCGAAATTAAAAAAAAACCACGTCATTGCCACCCAACGCGCGGCACTTTGAATTCCCTTAAATGCAAGTTGAATGAATTATCGAAGGCTTCTCACGCATGATGGTCGTTGAATAGGCTGTCGATGACCACGATGAACATTAAGCGATGGTTGAATGGTACCATTAAAAAAAAGGGGGGGGGCGAAAGAAAGAAACGAATACAATAAACTTGAACAAAAAAGCGGCTTCCACATGCATTGTGATACGAGACCAGAGGCAGCAGTCGGCGCAGTGCCGACGTTTTTTTTTTCTTTCGGGCCAACAATAAAAATGACGGTGGGGGAGAGTGCCCGAAAAGAAATCGTTGTCACATATCGTGATAATCACATGTCGTGGTTATCATGTTATCATCGTTTCTTGTTGTAGCAAATTTTGTTATGTAGATGTGCTCCTTCATAAGTTTTGTGACATGTGCGGGAATGCCTATCGAAGTATGAGCCTCAAAATTATATTATATGGGACCCAAGATACCCATGGTGCCATAAAGATTCATCCCACTATGGAATAAAGCGCTAACGGAAGAATCGCCATTCGAACTGCAAAGATAATGCTTCTCCATTTAGTGACTTGAAAAATAAGTTTGAAGCAGAATGAAAGAGGCCACGAACTTCTACTTGAGCAGTGCCTTCCTACATTTATGAAAAAAAATGCATCCAGTTTTAAAAGTAGATTAGTCCTGCATCATCTTTGTTTATTCTTGATAGCCAATCCTAAATACTGAAGTTATAGCAAATGCCTAAATAGTTACTTCATATCTGTTTTGTCCTACCGATAGCAGCATCAATCTTTCATGTCCGGCGTACTAGCAAACTACCTGCTCTTTGTAATCTCGAATGGAGCTCCTCTGGAGTACATAATCTTGTACAAAATCTCAAGGTTTCGAAACAATCCGGCCTAGGATTCTGATCCGAACGTGCTTCTGAAGTGGTATTCAGAGTGGGGTGCTATCTTCAATTCAATTCAATTCTTATTTTTCCAGTTTTTTACATGATAGGAAAATTTTTTTTACTGTAATAAAACTCAATATTCTCTGCAGCAGTTTCCCAGCTCTGAAAATCAGGGAACGTCGTGCCTCGTATTTAAGTCTAGAAACAAGCAAATAATATCAAATTATCAGTCAATGCTTTTGCTTCCTACTGGCTTTATATTTTTGGCGCATATCATTACCATATACAATGTAATATACATA